CGGACCTAGTCCCCCTGTTAATGAAACTATGTATATGGGTATCATTGGATCTCTTTTGTACCTGACGGCTAGCAGACATGACATTGTCTTTAGTGTTGGGTTGTGTGCTAGATTTTAATCAAGTCCAAAAGAATCTCATTTGAAGGCTGCCAAGAGAATTTTGAGGTATCTCAAGGGAACACAAGACCTGGTCCTCTTCTATCCCTCAGGAGATAATTTTGACCTATTTGGATACTGATGTGGATTATGCTGGCTATTTGGTGGATAGAAAGAGTACATCTGGAATGGCACATTTTCTGGTGTCATGCTAGATCTCATGGGGTGCAAAAAAATAAATCTCTATGGCTCTTTCTGCTGCTGAAGCTGAATATGTGGTTGATGCATCCTGTTGTGCTCAATTGTTGTGAATCAAGCAACAACTTGAGGATTTTGGTGTATTTACGGATTGTGTTCCCTTATTATATGATAATACAAGTGCTCTTAATATGGCAAAGAATTCGGTGCAATAGAAAAGGACAAAACATATTGATGTGAGACATTATTTCTTGAGGGACAGTGTTGAAAGGGTCTAATCTGTATAAAGTTCTGTAAGACAGATGACCATGTAGCAGATATCTTCACCAAAGTGTTGAGCAGGGAACACTTTGAAAGAAATCGTCTGGAGTTGGGCTTGATCAAGCTCAACTAAGGACTAGTTCCCTCAATGACTGTCTATGTTAAGAAGGAAAGATACAATGCTAAAAAGTATTTTTTGGTGACATCTAACTCAATTCTGTACTGTTACAGGTATACACACATGGCAGTTTTAGGACAAAACAAGTGTGACTGACATTGCAGTTCTAGGAGTTTTTGCTCATGTTTTCAAAAATCGTCAAGGAACCTAGTTCCCGTAACTCAAGTTAGTTGTCTCTTCAATACATATATGCTTTTTAAACTGCTTGAGTGCCATGTCACTAATTTATTCCTGCCTCTATCCCAATTTTTGAAGTCCAAAATGTTACACCTCTTCTGAACCGACCTGTTGCCCAAAAACCATTTCTTTTTTCTCACACTAATCATAACCAGTTCCTTCCACCCTATTTTGAACCCTACTCTACCACCTTCAAAATCCTAACTCCATCTGAATCAAAAACCAGGAAGTCTTAGGTAGATTCAGTGTTATCAAAGGCGAAAAGTGTAAAAAAAAAATCCTAAGGTCCGTTGGGGCTTTAAGCGCAAAATACAAATAAAGCGTGCGCTTTATTGAAAAAAGGCACAACCGGAGAAAACGTAAAAATATGTATATATATAGTCCAAGACAAATAATTATAAGCATGGATAACAAATATTTGAGCAAAGAAATTGAATTTTTTGTATGATAAAGTGAAATATCAATTGTTTAGTATCGCCTTTTCAGGATTACACTCATTGGCAAGAAAAAGTATGATTTAGAGCCTTTATGCGACACTAAAGTGCCCATAAAGCGATGCGAAGCGCTTAACATGTTTTGAACTTTGCTTCAGGGCTTAAGCGTGCTTTAAGCTCGCCTTTGGCAACGCTGGGTAAATTATGATGAGACTTTTAACTGAAAGGGAACATGGTAGATTTGATATTCTAGAAAGTAAGTCTTGAAATTGTTGTTGGGTTTGTAGAAGCCTTGAAGGATGGAGGAAGTGGTGAAGGAACTCAAGGAGAATTGGTGAATGTGCTGGAAAAAGGGGAACTGAATGAGGGACCTGGTCCTTTAAGTCCTTCTCATGATGTTGATTTTGATGATGACCTTTTTTTGGTTCTGTGCTTAAACAAAATCCAGTAAAAATGATTGGTGAAAAGTAGGTTGATTGATGATAAAGTGGCGTCACCTGCTGATATGGTGAATGTGGAGGATGAGGAGAATGAAGTGGTGTCACTTGTTAGAAAGAATTCAACAAAGAGCAAAATGGAGAAAAGTATCGGCTAAGAAAGATGCAACAGATGATAAGGGCGAACAAATTGAGAAGAAGAAGAGGGAGACCCGATCGCCCAGGAAAAGAAAGGGTTGTATGAGTGAGGAGCTTGGTTCCTTAAAGAAGCAAAAGGTTGAGCTACCAGAGTTGGAGAGGAAGGAGACTCTGAAGTCTCAAAAAAGTGTTGTTGGGCAGAGTTTTTGATTTTAATATTGCTGAAAAATGGAGGAACTGAATAGAATCACTTCTTTGTTACTCCAAGTCCCAAAGTTTTTGAAGAAGAAGTGAAAAACTTCTATGCAAATTTTTCTGCTACTGATGTTGTATGTGAATGAGACTGAGTTTGTTCTTGATGAGGAGAAGCTCACGGAGATTCTTGGTGTTCCGACTGATGGTTCACTCGCTCAGAAAAGTAGAGAACCAGTTCCCTATGGTCCCTTGGCAGAAGAGAATGCTTAGTTGAAGGCTAAGAATGAAATATAAAGAAAACAGATGGAGGACCTGAGAGAGAAGATGATCATTGATTAGAGGACTGCGAGTGAACGAATGGACAATCTTATCAGGGCCTTAGCCCGTTAATTTTTTTCTTGTCCAGTGATCCATGCTTTTCTCCTTTTCCAAATTTCCTCAAATTCCTATATTCTTGTGATCCCTATGTTTGATGATATTGGTACTTTGGTTGTTTAAATTGTCACATTTCAACTTTGCTTGATGATTGAAACTGCTGTATTTGTTGTTATAATTACTCCACTATGGGTAATCACTCTATTTTGTGCAATTATATTCACTTGTTATTCTTGTTACTATTTATGATGTGTTGCCCAAGTGGGATGAGTTAATATTGCTGAACTTCTTTTTGCTTGTGCTTCTTCTGTTAATTTTTTCAATGATGCCAAAAGGGGGAAGTTCAAAGGGGATAGAATAAAATCGAATTGACGGTCAAAGGGTATGCCGTGTTATATGTGAAAGATATTAGTCTATTGGTATATTTCGCATGAGGAATATTGCATTGTTGTAATCATGTTGATTATCGGTCAAATCTGTAGGGGAACATGTAAGAAATTTGGTTCTCAGGAAAAATATCAATTCTGGGTTTGTCATCACCAAAAAGGAAAAAAGTTGATAAGTTATGCTATTTCGTGTTTTGATGATTCGCAAAACACTCTCGAGGAACCAGATAGGAACTAGTTGTGATTAGTTCCTTTGGCCTTGGTATAATATGTTACTTCATGTTTTGATGCTGGTCAAATGTTCTCGAGGAACCAGATACGGACCAGATGTGATTAGTTCCCTTGGCCGTCGTATTCAACTTTACAGTTGTAAAAGCTGCTGCACTGTACCGACTGACAGCAGATATATTACTTCACGTTTTGATGCTGGTCAAATATTCTTGAGCAACCAGATAGGGACCAGGTATTAATCAGTTCCCTTGGCCGTTGTATAGTCAACTCTATAACTGTAAAAGCTACTGCACTGTACCGACTGGGAGCAGTGCAAAAACACAACTGTAGCTTGCTAGAGACCAAACTAAAAGATAAAATGTCCCTATCTCTTCTCACTTTCTATCTCATATATAAACAACATGTTACGAGGTTTGACCTAACACCTGCAAATCAAAAAATCATATTCTCTAAAGTGCTACCCACCACTGCTCTCAAGGAGCTCTCTAGGACAAAGCTGCTACAACCTCAAGGACTAGATCTCGACACTAAAAATATCTTAAGTCCTTAGGTTTGTTGAGTCTTTGTTATTTTGTTCTTCACTTGTAATCTTACACTCTTTCAAGAAGAGTCTTTGTAGCACAAATTTCAATCATCGTTTGGTTTAGTTTCTTGACTAGATCTAGTCAATGTTTGTTGCTATGTAGTAGAATTATTGTAAAGGGCTTACAATAGAGTTATTGTAAGGGGGGAGGGGGGTTAATAGTTTAATTCCTAGGTTGAAACAGGCTGTAATCTGAAGTTTGCTCGATTTAGTGGAGTTTATATCCTACTAGGGTAGATCGTGGTTTTTCGGGCAAGGAGTTTTCCACGTAAATATCGCGTGTCTTTTACTTTTCGCTTATTTACCGTGGAATCAGATAGAGAACTTGGTTTCCTATACTGTTTGGTGGACTCCTAGTTTCTATCACCATCTTTCATTATGATTATGAATAGGTACAACCCATCCATATTTTTCATCAAATCCAAAGTAAAGAACAATTTTTCTTTCCTTTTAAACTCTGTGATAAAGATATAACTTTTGTAAAAATTATTAAACTCAACAAATATGTTAACCTTGTTTCAAGAAGCGACTCACATGAAGGCGCTCAAACACACCATGCATTTACTTATTAGTAGTTCACTCTGCTAAAGAATCAATAATCTTGTTCTCCTTCAGAAAAAATTAAATACTCCTAATTGAGTTTAGCAACTAGGTTTCTCCAAAATTTACAACTTTCATATTGTTCTCCTTCAGAAAAAATTAAGTACTCCTAATTGAGTTTAGCAACTAGGTTTCTCCAAAATTTACAACTTTCACAAAACTATTCATAAGGCCAAAATATGTACTTCGTCCGCTTCAAATTAAATGACATACTTTCCTTTGTTAAAAAACCCACATTTCTTCAAAATATTATGACTCTACAAAGCTTTTGATCCTTAAGCACTATATATTTTAAAGGTCTTTTTTTCCTCTTAAACTTTGTGCAAAGTTAAACTATACTTCCTCCAGTTCACAATAAGTGACCAGTTTACTTTTTCATTTTGGTTCAAAATAAGTGTCCAGTTTTGTAATAAAAAAAAAATTCAATTTGTTTTCTCTTTTACCCTTATGTGCATATCCCTAAAAAGTTTTCTCACTCCTCACTATAACTATGTGACCAATATTTAATAAGGGTAGTTTACTCATACTAGATATTTTTATATATGATTTAGTATTTTCTTAATGGGCGTGCTAAAAGGAAAGTGGTCACTTATTGTGACCCGGAGGAGTACCATCTAAGCACAAATTCTATGTAGCACAAGGACATTCTCGTCAATTCCTGAATATTCTCTCTCCTCTACCCTTTCGCCTTTTTGTTTTCTTCTTTTCCATTTTCCAGAATTCCCTCTTTGTATACTTACAAATTCAATGTCTTCCCACTTCCATGATCCCCATTTTCTCTCGCTACATATGCATATGCATATATTATACTCCATACAAAAAATCATTCCATACATGTGATTCTCTCGTGGGTATTAGATGGCTCCTACAATGAGGGACGTGCAGTTGACGGCTGCCGGAGATGGCGCCTTTGAGGAAGTCAGATTATTGGATGCTTATGACGAAGAGAATTCTGATATATTGAACGGTAATTTGAGGAGGATTCAAGTAAGAGTTTCGGGAATGACGTGTGCAGCTTGTTCAAATTCCGTGGAACAAGCTTTGATGGGGGTTAATGGTGTTTTTAGAGCTTCTGTTGCTTTGCTTCAGAATAAGGCTGATGTTGTTTTTGATTCTAATTTGGTCAAGGTTGACTATTTCTTCATTGCTTCTTTCAGCTTTAATTGCTTAGTTGTGTTTTTGACTTTTATCATTATTTTTGTGGGGTTTTGATAAATTAGGAATTTTGAGTTCAGTTTCGAGCATTATTGCAATCTTTATGCTTTTTGGGGACATGGGTTAGCATTAGTTCTTTAATTCTTTTTGGGAGGTTTTAGTGGGTTTGTTGTAAAGCTTGGATCTTTGTGTGATTTGTCTATGTGATGATATTTTTCCTTTTTCAGCTTCATGATTATATTACCTAACTGTGGTTTGCTTTGCTGTGGATGGCACATGAAATGGACCTCATAACACAAACTGATATTCTGTCATGGGGGTGCAAATTATAGGCTTAAGGAACGAGAAGCTGATTTTTATTTTATGTGGCACTATTTACTTATTAGTTCGTTCAAAAAGAAAAATGACACCTTTTTATATTTGGAATTTATTTGACTTTTAACTTCTCAATTTACTATTAATGACATGCTTTTTAGCCACTACTCGTGGCATGTTTAAGACCATAAGTTCCAAAAGTCTTTCTTTCTTTCGTAAACTCCGTGCCTAGTCAAACTACACCAACTAAATTGAAACAGAGGGAGTACTAAGTTACAACTGTCTCTCCCAATAGACTATTAACTAGGTTGCCACCATCTTTTTCTATTGGTGGAAGTACGTTGTTTGCCTTGATGGAGCCGTTCATTTCTAAGTTTGATATGCAACGGAATTTAATTCACTTTGCTCCTAGAAAGTGTCAGTTTCTTGTTTATTATTAATGTATACTTTCTGGTATGTAGAATTTATATCTGATGAACATATGACTGCAAAACACAGCTAGTTTGGGATTGAGAGTAGGTAATTGATTAGATTTATGACTACAAACAAGTGAACTGGGATAGACTTTTAAAATATCTCAATAGTTAAAGCTAAAAATTATGTGTGTAGGTTGATCTTGAGATGCCTTCTTTTAATTTATCATCTACATTTTAATTTGGTTGGGTTTGACTGCGCATATTAATCATGTTTTAGCTTTCTGTTGTGTTTTTTGGTTTAAAATCAAGGAAATTCCGCTGCATTCAAGTTTGTATTTCCCTGTTAGACTTGTCTCTTAACAGTGCCTTAGATTGTTGGACTGACATCTTTTAGTTCCATATAGTATTCTTGTCTGGATTTCAGTTTCAAAATATGAAAAGGAGAAGGAAAATAGTCAGGACACCCACGGGATTCTCTGGTTAACCTAAGAAAAATTGGCATGACTATCTTTTCTGTCATAAAACTGTTATTAGTAAATACATAAATATTTGTGCTTTTGGCTGGTTCTTGCTGAGATTGTGGCAGTGCTTTGTTCTACTGTTAGCAACCATCATGAATTTTTTTTAATGGTGTATATTAGCAGCTAGATGCAAATATCAAACCATTGTCCCCTTTTATTTTCAGGATGAAGAGATTAAAATTGCTATAGAAGATGCTGGGTTCGAGGCAGAGGTTCTTGAAGAACTAAGTGCATCTTGCACAAGCCAACATGGAACTGTATTAGGACAGTTCACGATCGGTGGTATGACATGTGCAGCTTGTGTAAATTCTGTTGAAGGAATCCTAAGAAAGCTTCCAGGAGTAAGAAAGGCAGTAGTTGCTTTGGCTACATCACTAGGCGAGGTTGAATATGATCCATCCATAATCAGTAAAGACGATATAGTGAATGCAGTTGAAGATGCTGGTTTTGAAGCTTCCTTTATACAGAGCAGTGAGCAGGACAAGATTGTACTTGGGGTGGTTGGAGTATCTGCTGAGATGGATATGCAGTTGTTAGAAGGCATTCTTTCCAAGTTGCATGGTGTCAAACAGTTTTATTTTGATAGGATATCAAGAGAACTAGAAGTTGTCTTTGATCCTGAGGTTCTTGGCTCAAGATCCTTAGTTGATGGTATTGAGGGAGGAAGTGGCGGAAAGTTTAAGTTGCTTGTTAAGAACCCTTACACAAGAATTGCTTCTGGAGATCTTGAAGAATCCTCAAGCATGTTTAGGCTATTCACAGCAAGTTTGTCTCTCAGTGTAAGTTACCCTTTTCGCTACTGTTCTAGAACTGCAATCCTCTCCTCTGGTTTTTACCTCCCTCCTCTAGTGCCTGCCTATCCCTTCCCCCTCTCCTCTGGATGGTGCAGGGAGGTTGGAAGGGCATGACTTAAATGTTCTATTGGAGACTTCTAACCGATAAGCATGGTTTCTGTACAATGAAAACTAGGGTGAGAGTTGCTATACCTGCAAGAAAGGGAAATATCCTGTCTGCCACCACCATCATTAAAGATTTATGTAATTTGGAGTTTCAAACTATAAGACTCCATATCCTTAATGTTAATTCTTTTAAGCCAGATGCTAATCTGGAAATTCTTGAATGAGAAATGTGTGCTTGTAACTTCATATTATATGCTGGGATTGACTCCCGGTGCTGCTAACAGTTAAAACTGTGTCCATCCTCTTTTTCTCCATTCAGTTGTTAGACTTTTGGTTATCTAACATCTATATATTTGTGCCAGGTTCCTCTATTTCTCATGCGAGTCGTCTGCCCTCACATACCTCTGCTTTATGCTTTATTACTTTGGCAGTGCGGTCCCTTCCTAATGGGTGATTGGCTAAAGTGGGCTTTAGTGACTGTTGTCCAATTTGTCATTGGTAAGCGTTTTTACGTTGCAGCAGGAAGAGCACTTAGAAATGGTTCCACAAACATGGATGTCTTAGTTGCAGTGGGAACTACAGCTTGCTATGTTTACTCTCTATATGCGCTACTTTATGGTGCAATTTCTGGATTCTGGTCACCCACTTACTTTGAAACAAGTGCCATGTTAATAACATTTGTACTTCTGGGAAAGTACTTGGAAACTCTTGCAAAAGGAAAGACGTCAGATGCTATCAAAAAGCTCGTAGAACTGACTCCAGCTACTGCTACATTGCTTGTCAAAGATAAAGGTACAAGTATTCAGAATTTCTTTTAATTTTTCAATAATAGTACCTATCAGGTTTTTTCTGTCAGAGTTGCAATATACTACTGGCAAATGTATGAAAACAACCAACAACTTTTACCACAACGCAAAAACCAATATTGATAACAAAGGACTGTCACTGAAGTTATGTTTAATCTGTCTTTAGGTGGAAGAATCATAGGACAAAGAGAAATAGATGCTTTGTTGATTCAACCTGGTGATATTCTTAAAGTGCTTCCTGGTGCAAAAGTTCCAGTAGACGGTGTCATTGTATGGGGTTCAAGTCATGTTAACGAGAGTATAGTCACTGGAGAATCTGTTCCTGTTCTGAAGGAGGTCAATTCAGTAGTCATTGGAGGTACAATCAATTTACATGGTTCACTTCACATACAGGCTACAAAAGTTGGCTCTAACACAGTTTTGAGTCAGATTATATCGCTGGTCGAGACAGCGCAGATGTCAAAAGCTCCTATTCAGAAGTTTGCTGACTATGTGAGTATCATTTGGCATATCTTTTGTCAAAATAGTTTCATGACTTTTGTGCAAATTAACTGTTTTAGTGGTGTTGAACTTTATTATATTTGCTTGCTCTAGGACAAATGACTGACGGCATTGGAAAAGCACTTATGAATAATTGAATAAGTCTAAGAATGTCCATGTGGGAACTACAAACCTCCTTTCTTTCCATTACATACAGTTCATCTATGCTGTCAGATGTTCTCCCAGCATTCCTCTCTAAATGTTGTAGGGGCACAGGTCTAGAGCTGTGGTATCGAAAATAGATGAGAAAAAGAACTCATCTCTTTACTTAGTTAGAGTCATTGTTTTACTCTTTCTATCTGCATGACTGCTTTCTTATATGCTGTCCTGCTATTATCCTCCTGGATCTGTAAAGTGCTTGTTGCAGTTTGATGCTTTGGGCGAAGCATGTTTCTATTTATTTTTTTGACCACATCAAATACTGGATTGCCAATTTGAATTTCCAACAGCTTAAGTAGCTGAAAATCATAACAGTTTAGGTTCGATTAGTAAATTTCTTATTCAGTTTGCTTTTTTTCTTGACCACTAAATTGAACTTCGATTTTTGTACATCAATGGGCATGGCCAAACTCTATCCTTTTTTTTTGATGAAGTAATTTGTTCATTGATGGCATCAAGAAGATTCGGTAGTACAAAAGATGATACAGCAAAAAGAACTAAGTCAGCTCTAATACATGAAATGCTAATCTAAGACCAAGGTGCTGACAAAGTTCAGAAAGCTATCAGGGGTGTCTACAGGGGACACAACTAAAAAGAAACATTATGCACCTAGCCTTAATAGAGTGAATTGGAGTCGATACACCATCAAAGCATCTCCTATTTCTTTCTGTCCATAAACACCAAAAATATTAGCAGGGATCATTCTCCAGACTTGTTTGATGGCTTTATCAACTTTCCATGTATTCCAGTTTCCAAAGGCTTCCTTGGTGCTATGAGGCATGACCCTGTTGAGTCCAAAAAGTGAGAGAAACATGTTCCACACATCAGCAGCTACTGGACAGTGTAGAAACAAATGGCTGTTGGTTTCTTCATTGTTCTGACACATGTCTGGAAGCTTCTTTTCCTTAGATTATTATCCTGAGTGAGGCATGCATCTGTAGTGCAGTCCAACAAAAGCAGGTGACTTTTAAAGGAGCTCTTGTTCTCCAAATAAGCTTCCATGGCCAGCTTTCTACCATTTCATTTTGTGCTGTCAAAGATGTATATCCAGCCTTGACAGAATAGCAACCTTCCTTGGACTTGCCCCACTATAGCTTGTCCACTGCATGAGCATTGACTCCATTATTCTCTAGCCTTGACAGTAGATTTAGCAGCTCCTCATACTCTCAGTCTTGTATATACCTTCTAAGAAGAATGTTCCAACTGTTGTTTTCCCTGTATTGAGCAATGGATGAGTCAGGATCACAAGAGATCTGATAGAGGTTTGGAAAGTCATCTTTTAGAAGACAGTTCCCTAGCCATTTATCTTTCCAGAATTTGATGAGTGTCCCACTTCCTGCAGAAAAGTAGGCATTCTGATAGTTCATCCCAGAGTCTGCTAATGTATTTCCAAGGTCCAACTCCATGTGAGGCTCGGGAGATTTTTGTACACCAATGGTTTTGGGCTCCATGCTTAGCTGTGACTACCTCTTTCCAAAGTGTTTGTTTTCCTGAGAATATCTCCATAACCACTTCATTAGTAAACTTTTGTTATGTGCAGTCAGATTTTTAACGCCCAGTCCACCTTGTATCTTAGGCATTGTGCATTTAGACCATTTTACAAGGTGGAATTTGTGGTCCTTATTGTTCCCTTCCCCCAAAAAGTTCCTCCGGATTTTGTCGAGCTGTCTCAGTACCTTGCTAGGCATAGGGAATAATGACATAGTGTATGTTGGAATGCTGTCTAGAGTGCTGTTAATCAAAGTAAGTCTACCACCCATTGAGAGGTACTGCATCTGCCAGGAGGCTAGCCTTTTCTCGAACTTATCAATCACACTGCCCCAACTGCAAGTAGCTCTAAACTTAGCACCCAATGGAAGTCCCAGATATGTTGTTGGGAAGGAGCCAGTGTTGCAGCACAAAATTTCTGCTAACTCTGCCAGATTTGGAACGTCATTGACAGGGTATATAACACTTTTGAGCATGTTGATATGAAGTCCAGATAAAGCTTCAAAGATTAGTAGGGTAATATTAAGGTAAAGCACTTGTCTTGATTCAGCCCCACAAAAAATTAAGGTATCATCAGCATACAAAAGGTGCGAGACATGTTTTGCTAATGGCCAAACTCTATCCTTCGTTGTCCTTATCATGTTTTGCTAATGGAATTCTATTTATAAGTGCGTGATAAAGGGACAACTTAAAGAGTGAATTTGTTGCAGGTTGGAGTTTATACAACTTCAATAGCATATCTCAGTGGTCAAGAAACAATAAGCAAACTGAAAATAAAGAAATTCATTAGTCAAATCCAAACTGTATCCTTTGCCGTCCTAGTCTTTTCTTGCTACTGGAATTTATCTAGTAAGTGCATGATAAAGGAACCACTTAAAAGGGTGAANTGTTGATTCAACCTGGTGATATTCTTAAAGTGCTTCCTGGTGCAAAAGTTCCAGTAAACGGTGTCGTTGTATGGGGTTCAAGTCATGTTAACGAGAGTATAGTCACTGGAGAATCTGTTCCTGTTCTGAAGGAGGTCAATTCAGTAGTCATTGGAGGTACAATCAATTTACATGGTTCACTTCACATACAGGCTACAAAAGTTGGCTCTAACACAGTTTTGAGTCAGATTATATCGCTGGTCGAGACAGCCCAGATGTCAAAAGCTCCTATTCAGAAGTTTGCTGACTATGTGAGTATCATTTGGCATATCTTTTGTCAAAATAGTTTCATGACTTTTGTGCAAATTAACTGTTTTGGTGGTGTTGAACTTTATTATATTTGCTTGCTCTAGGACAAATGACTGAAGGAATTGGAAAAGCACTTATGAATAATTGAATAAGTCTAAGAATGTCCATGTAGAACTACAAACCTCCTTTCTTTCTATTACATACAGTTCATCTATGCTGTCAGATGTTCTCCCAGCATTCCTCTCTAAATGTTGTAGGGGCGCAAGTCTAGAGCCGTGGTATCGAAAATAGATGAGAAAAAGAACTCATCTCTTTACTTAGAGTCATTGTTTTACTCTTTCTATCTGCATGACTGCTTTCTTTTATGCTGTCCTGCCATTATCCTCCTGGATCTGTAAAGTGCTTGTTGCAGTTTGATGCTTTGGGCGAAGCATGTTTCTATTTTTTTTTACCACATCAAATATTGGATTGCCAATTTGAATTTCCAACAGCTTAAGTAGCTGAAAATCATAACAGTTTAGGTTCGACTCGTAAATTTCTTATTCAGTTTGCTTTTTTTCTTGACCACTAAATTGAACTTCGATTTTTGTACATCAATGGGCATAGCCAAACTCTATCCTTCGTTGTCCTTGTCATGTTTTGCTAATGGAATTCTATTTAAGAAGTGTGTGATAAAGGGACAATTTAAAGAGTGAATTTGTTGCAGGTTGGAGTTTATACAACTTCAATAGCATATCTCAGAGGTCAAGAAACAATAAGCAAACTGAAATAAAGAAATTCATTAGTCGAACTCAAACTGTATCCTTTGCCGTCCTTGTCTTTTCTTGCAACTGGAATTTTATCTAGTAAGTGCATGATAAAGGAACCACTTAAAAGGGTGCATTTGTTACAGGGTTCGAGCTTATACAGCTTCAGTAGTACTTAAAGTATCAAAGAGCGTCTTCACTTCTTTATCTTCTCCTCTTTTGATTTTTGAATCTGCAGTTGAATTCTTGATCTAGCATTGTATTTCATGTTGTGAGCTGCCAGAATTTTCTCATTATGGTTATCTTTTGACTTTCAGATTGCAAGCATTGTTGTCCCTACAGCTGTAACTTTGTCTTTATTTACGTTCTTGGGATGGTGAGCTTCTCTTGACTATTCTATTTGCAATTGTCTGCTATGCGATAATATATCACCAATCATTTTCATGTTGTGTGCCCTAATACTGGATAAGTTATTACACTCACCAGGTATGTTGCTGGGCTTCTTGGAGGCTATCCAGAAGAATGGCTGCCAGAAAATAGCAATTATTTCGTGTTTGCTCTCATGTTTGCAATATCAGTTGTGGTGATTGCATGTCCATGTGCACTTGGTTTGGCCACTCCCACTGCTGTTATGGTTGCAACAGGGGTTGGTGCCAGTAATGGTGTGCTGATAAAAGGAGGAGATGCATTAGAGAGGGCACAGAAGATTAAATATGTGATATTCGATAAAACAGGTACTCTGACCCAGGGAAAAGCTACAGTTACGACAGTAAAAGTTTTCACAGAGATGAATCGTGGAGAATTACTTACACTTGTAGCTTCAGCGGAGGTACATTCAAATCCTCAAGCTAGTTTCCTCACCTTTTCCTTGTTCTCTTTTGATACTATCTATATGCTGCTTTCTTAATGAAAAAATAAGTAAGAAAGTAAAATACTGTTAACAAAGAGCAGTCACTTCTGAAATAATGAGGAGAGCACACAACATTAAAACAAAGAGATTTCTGTTCTCTTTCTTTTTCCTTCCTTTTCTTCCTTCATAAACCACTACCTGATTTCTATAACGAGCTTTCAGCAGCCTTTTTTTTCTCGCTAAGGCAGTCATTTGTTGCTATGATGTTTACGTCCAATATGGCAATGCGGTTCATTTAAACCAGCTGTAATGTTCCAAGAACTACTTTCTAACATCAACTACAAAAATATGCTTTATATGTAGGCTAGCAGTGAACACCCCTTGGCTAAAGCCATACTGGAGTATTCTCGCCATTTCCATTTCTTTGACGAACCTTGTGACACCAAGGAGTCTCAAAGTAACAGTGAACAAGCCAAGTTCTCTGGATGGCTTCATGATGTCTCAAATTTCTCTGCCTTGCCTGGAAAAGGCGTGCAATGCTTCGTAGAAGGGAAATGGATCTTGGTGAGTTCATTGATGTGTAGATTTGTGGAGAGGAAGAGAAGCTTTCTGTAATCAGGAAATAGTGTTGATTTCTTCTGTTGCTGTGACAGGTTGGTAACCGGAAGCTGATAACAGAAAATGGGATAACCATACCTTCCAATGTAGAAAGTTTTGTTGTAGAGATGGAAGAAAGCGCCAGGACTGGCATTCTTGTCGCACGAGATAATACTATCGTAGGTGCTATCGGGATAGCAGACCCACTGAAGAGAGAAGCAGCTGTTGTTGTAGAGGGGCTCCTGAAAATGGGCGTCAAACCTGTCATGGTCACTGGCGATAATTGGAGAACAGCTCGTGCAGTTGCTAAGGAGGTGTGTATCTTAATTCAAACTGATAATACAAATGTTTATATGCAATGTAATATTAATTTGCCAATGGAGTATAGAGAAACTGATGCCTCAGTTCAATTCCTGGAACTAGTCTTTTGCTTTTCTAATTCTCTTCCTTCCCCATGTTTGACTTGCTTCTCTCTAATATTAAGCCATCAGTGCAACTATACCTTGAAAAATAAGGCCCACCCTTCTGAAACTTAAAATTGTTCACAGCTATGTGCTATAGCTGACTTCCATCAGCTATGGACTTCCTGTAATAAGGCTGAGCAAAGTTCACATTTATGTTCTTCTTAAACAGCTGTAATGATGCTTATGGTAATTTGTGGCCATTGATTCCTTGTCTTTGTTGAACTGTTGGTATTTGAGAGAATCCACCATATGTGAGAGTATGCGGAAGGCGCGAGTGCTATGAGATAAGTACAGAGATAGTCATCCATGAGGTAGCCAGTCTGCTGAGGTCAAAGTTGCTAAAACAGGGGTAGCAGTATCATTGAGTTTTGTTACAAGGCATTGTATAGATGCTGTACCATTTGAGTTTTATTCCATGCACATGCAGTTTATCAGTGATCCTTAGACAGGCTACAAATTGTAGATTAAATGCAGTAGCTTTGGCTGTCGTTTTGCATTGCAGGTTGGCATTCATGATGTTAGAGCAGAAGTATTGCCTGCAGGAAAAGCTGAGGTCATCCGTTCATTTCAAAAGGGAGGAAATGTAGTTGCTATGGTAGGTGACGGAATCAATGACTCGCCTGCATTAGCTGCTGCTGATATCGGTATGGCAATTGGAGCAGGGACTGATATCGCAATAGAAGCTGCTGAATACGTGTTAATGAGGAGCAACTTGGAGGATGTTATCACAGCTATAGATCTGTCGAGGAAGACATTTTCCCGTATTAGATGGAATTATGTCTTCGCCATGGCATATAATGTGATTGCAATCCCAGTGGCTGCTGGTGTTTTCTTTCCTTTAACAAAGCTCAAGTTGCCACCGTGGGTAGCTGGTGCATGCATGGCTATGTCATCTGTAAGTGTTGTATGTTCTTCTCTGCTTCTAAAGAGATACAAGAAACCCAGACTCACTGCTATACTGGAAATAACTGTAGAATAGGGATAAGGTAAAACATAGTAATAAAATTGAGCAAGAACTGGAAATCAAGTCTTTTTTGTATACTTCTCTAACCCCCCCCCCCCCCCCCCCC